TTTATGAAATAGCATTCTATGAGTTTTGACAGTAGGTTAGGAACTAAAACTAAATAACAGTAAATTTACAGTAGCTAGTATTCTGTGAGGAGCTAAGATATGCAGCAGTCAAGCTTTATCCTTCCCATGGGTCAAAGCCATTCAAAAGTGAGGTTTCTGTCTTATTTGGTGTTTCTATTGATGTGAAGAGATACCATGAGCATGGCAATTCTTATAAAAGAAAGCATTTAATTGGGGCTTAAAGAGTCTTTATTAATAAAATCAAACCTGAGGCCAGTTATTGGGGTAAACACTGGAAGATCAGAGAGACAGAACAAGCCACAGCTAACCTCACCTGGCCAACTTCTCAGCTGGTCTTGTTTCTTCAGATTGGAAGCTTCTGTGTCCTCATCCCAAAGGCTCTCAGCTGAACGCTGCTCGAAAGCCTGAAGGTTAACCAGCTAAAAGCTTAAGCAGCCAAATGCTTCTAGTTCCTGGTCTTCACGCCTTATATATCTTTCCTTTCTGCCATCACACCCTGGGATTAAAGGCTCGCTTTCTGGGATTAAAGACACGAGTCATCATTCCTGGCTGTTTCCAATGTGGCCTTGAACTCACAGAGATCCAGAGGGATTTCTGTCTCTGGAATGCTAAGATTAAAGGTGTGAGTGCCACCATTTTCTAGCCTCTGTATCTAGTGGCTGTCTGTTCCCTGACCCCAGATAAATTTATTAGGGTACACAATATTTTGGGGAACACAATACCACCACAGGGGCTGGCTTAGTTTCATTAATCATTATCATCATGGCAAAACATGGCAGCATACAGGTAGACATGGTGCTGGAGAAAGACTTGAGAGTTCTACATCTTGATCCACAGGCAACAGGAAGCAAACTGTGTCCCACATTGGTCATAGCTTGAATATATGAGATCTCAAACACACCCCCACAGTGACACACTTCCTCTATCAAGGCCTTACCAACTCAAACAAGGCCAAACATTCAAGCACCAGAGTCTATGAGGGCCATACCTATTCAAACCATAACAGTATCCCAGACTAGGAATCAAGAGTTACTCTCTGTGGAGACTTGGAATTAGCATAGTATGACAATTCTTTGTGGTCTACTTGGGTCATGTCATTCTTAGAATAGTTTTTGTTTTATTTGTTCTTTTGAAATTGGAAATTGGCACACTTCAGGTGGTTCATAACTGTCAATTGCCACCTTTTCTCTCTCTGATTCTTTGCTAAGGGAAGCTATCCTGGGGCTTCTAAGTGGACAGGCTAGCAGACTGATTAGACAAACAGAGGGAACAAGTGTTCTGAAGCCCTCTAAAGCTAGATCAGTAAAGATTCTATTCTGGGATACCCACCTCTCACCAGCATCCCTAATTTTTCTGATAAAGTTTATCCAATTGATATATAGAGGCTGAAAGCAAGCCCTCTAGGTTTCATCCAAAGATAAATTCTGAATTGCCAATGCCTTTGTTCTGAAATAGAAAAATCGATGAGATGTCTACCAAGAGAAAGTGCTTGTTAGATGCAGTTTGAACCAATTCTTTATTTTCTATCCATTTTATTCTCTTCTCTGATAATGTCAGATCCCAGGTATAGAATCTTCCAGTCAGATTTTTGGACAAATGATATTTAACTTTCACTTCTATCCTCTCTGGTGATAGCACCTGGAAGCTAGAAGTTTTCCTGTGTCCCAGCCTGGCCTATAGTCAGGACAAATCTCTCTCACCTGCTGGTCCTGCAGCCTCTTGGTCCCAAATAAATGCACACAGGCTTATATTATTTTTAAACTATGGCCATGGCAGGCTTCTCACTAGCTCTTTTATCTTAAATTAGCCCATAACTATTAATCTATCTATCACCACATGTTCCATGGCTTTACCTGCATCCCATTACCTCCTTGGGTGGCTCATTGGTGTCTCTACTGCATCTCCTTTCTATTTCTGTCTATGTGTTTGGATTTCTCACCTGCCTCTAAGCTGCCTTGCCAGAGGCCAAATGGCTTTATTTATCAACCAATCAGAGCAACATATATTCACAGCATACAGAAAGACATTCCCCCATCAAGACATTCCCCTACCTTTAACAATCTTTCATCAGTATGTCTAAATATATATTCAGAATTCAAAATCATTTAAACACGGGCACTTGTTGGTTGCCTCCGTCCCCTCTGTAACCTCTGCTATTCTAAGTCTACTCCTCTTGGGGATTTATATAGAGCTTGTAACGGATTTGGGAAGGAAAAAGGAAAGAGGTATGTGAGAAAAGAGAGGAGGCAAATCCAGCATTTGATTTTTTTATTGGAAGACAATTAATCTAATTCTATAAATAGATGGCATTCACAAATGTGCAGGAATCGCTAGAATACTGTATGTATCCATATTTTCATTCTATTTAATTTGCTGCTACTATCAATCTAAAACAATCTTAAAATTAAAAAAGTTAAACAGTATCTAAAAGTAGACTCACATTCTCCAAATATATGGATATTTGAATTTAAATTTAATAAAATCATCTTGTTAGAGAGTCATTCCCCAGTCATCTGAATCATTTTTAAGTGTAGGAGATCACCTGTGGATACCGTCTACTGTGTTACACAGTAAAGTCAAGGGCAAAAAGTTCTAGTGGACAGAGATTTTTCCCCAGAAGTCTCAGAATGGATGTGTCAGTAAAGAATTAATTCACTGAAAAGCAACTGACGCAGTATGGAAATGTTCTCCCACTCTCCTCTTTGCTTTTCTTTTGTAATTCTGGATTTACATGTTCCTGAGTGAGTTTTCAGAAGGAAGTCAGCTATCCACAGCCCTTTGCTGATCATATGTGCTGACTGTGACTATTTGACATGAAGATGAGAGAGCTGTGATAGTCTTCAGGGCCTCCTGGGAGTCAGAAAGCAGTTTCTCAGGGTGTTCACACTGAACATACTGGCTCACAAATGTTGAGAGTCTTAAATTATCCCAGAGAACTGTCTAACACAACAACCCTAGAGAGGAATTTGGCAAGGACTCTGTCCTGTGTTCATTCAGAGTCTAAGGCCATCAGTGAAGTAGTGCTAATGACAACCTGTGTCATCATCCAAGAACCTCTCTATGAATATCCAACTGCAAACTTCTAAACCTAGAGAAGATAAAGAAGACTTCTGACCTTCCCCCAGTCCTGGGGCTGTTCTACTTTGCTATACATAGTTTTTTGTAGTGTATTGAGTAATGTCAAAATGGGAATCAGTGTGTAGACAGATATTTGTATTGATTCAGAGACAATGGAATATGAGATCTGGCTTGCAACTGGGAGTTTACCCTGCCTGCCTCTGATTATGTGCCTGAAAATGGGGGACCAATGTGCTGTAGAAACAAGATACAAGTAGACTACATGCTATTGCTCAGTTAGCTTTTCTGAGGGTTTTGAATGATATACTCCGGAATTTTAAAACTAAAGAACTTGCATGTGTCTCAAAGCATGTGTGCATGCATGTGTGTGTGTGTGTGTGTGTGTGTGTGTGTGTGTGTGTGCGTGTGTGTGTGAAGACATATGTTCCCCTGCTTGAGTACATATACAAAAATGTGTCCCACTTTATCACCCTCTACATTATTCCTTTGAGACAGAATCTCTCACTGAATCTGTTGCTGGACTGGCAGATTTCAGCAACAATTTCCAGATATCTTCCTGTCTTCAACATCTACAACACTGAGTTACAGACATCCATACAGCCACAAACAGCTTTTTAATAGAGTGCTGATGATGCAAACTCAGGACTTCACGCTTGAGTAACAAGAATTATTACATAATGAAGCCATCCCCTGTGTACCAGAAAAGTTTTGGAATTTTTAAAATGTAGTGGGGTTAGTGGCAGGACATTAGACCACTTGGGACATGCCCTTAAAAAGACAGTAAGGTGGTGGCGCACGCCTTTAATCCCAGCACTCGGGAGGCAGAGCCAGGCGGATCTCTGTGAGTTCGAGGCCAGCCTGGGCTACCAAGTGAGCTCCAGGAAAGGCGCAAAGCTACACAGAGAAACCCTGTCAAGAAAAAAAAAAAAAAAAAAGACAGTAAGACCTAAGCCCCTCTATATTTCTCCTGACTGCTTCTGAGTCTTCATAAATATGAACAGCCTACTCCATCATATATCACAGATACAATGTCAAAAATACAAGCCCAAAACAGTAGAAAAAGCAACAGTAGACTGAGACATAGTAAGTGCTTTCTTCTTATAAGTTGATTATCTCAAGTATTTCATCACAGTAACAGAAAACTAATATATGCTGACATGTTACTTTACTATTTTTCTTTTTCCCCCTCTAAAATGAATTACTAAAATGAATTACAATTTGGTTTCAATTTGTTAGTAAGGCAATAAGTGATAAGCCATGATATATTTTTACATAAATTGGTTATCCATTCATAGGATTTCATCATATTTTTCAGTGAAACAAACTGATAACATTGAAAATCTGTATTCAAGTCTACTAGGAAAGTCTACAGATCAAATTTGTCAGAAGATGTTTCAATTTCCATTTTTCAAGTGTCCAGGACAGACACACAAAGGCATGCCATGTAAATTAGCAGTGCCAGTATCATATATATCTAAGGTACTGAAAGGTTGAAGAAAACAGAAAGATATATCCTCTAGTGCAAACAGAATGAATCAAGTGAAGGTCTTGTTCAGAACTGGACATTTTAAAGAATGATGTCTTTATCTATACTGTGCTACTATAACAGAATATCTCAAGCTAAGTAATTCATAAATAAAATAAGGTTATTTTCTAAAGTTCTGAAAGCTTGAAAGTTATAGAACATGGAGTTAGCATTTATGGAGGAGTCTTCCTGTGGCACAACAGGGTAGATAGGTAAATTAACACATAGAAAACAGAGTAAAGTTGGAATAAGGCTACCTGTTCTGGGCTGTGTCCCAGTGACATCGCGGTCCGCAAAAATCTTTGCGACCTGAAGGTGGAGGCCAGACACAGGCAGGCTGGGTGGAGGTGGTGGCCTCAGAAGCCCCTGCGCCGCAGGTGCAGTGTACTTTTTAAGACGCAATGAAAGCCTTCTACACTTTCTGTGTGGTCCTTTTGGTGTTGGGGCGTGACTCTGAAGCCAAGTTTGATGATTTCGAGGATGAGGAAGACATAGTAGAGTATGATGATAATGACTTCGCTGAGTTTGAGGATGTCATGGAAGATTCTGTTACGGAATCTCCTCAGCGAGTGATAAGCACTGAAGATGATGAAGATGAGACCACTGTGGAGTTGGAAGGGCAGGATGAAAACCAAGAAGGAGATTTTGAAGATGCGGATACCCAGGAGGGAGATACTGAAAGTGAGCCATATGATGATGAAGAATTTGAGGGTTATGAAGACAAACCAGATACCTCTTCTAGTAAAAACAAAGACCCAATAACAATTGTTGATGTCCCTGCACACCTCCAGAACAGCTGGGAGAGTTATTATCTAGAGATCCTGAGGGTGACTGGTTTGCTTGCCTATATCATGAACTACATCATTGGGAAGAATAAAAACAGCCGACTTGCTCAGGCCTGGTTTAACTCTTATGGGGAGCTTTTGGAGAGCAATTTTACCTTAGTGGGGGATGATGGGACTAACAAAGAAGCCACAAGCACAGGAAAGTTGAATCAGGAGAATGAACACATCTATAATCTGTGGTGTTCTGGTCGAGTGTGCTGTGAAGGCATGCTCATCCAGCTGAGGTTCCTTAAAAGACAAGACTTACTTAATGTCCTGGCCCGGATGATGAGGCCAGTGAGTGATCAAGTGCAAATAAAAGTAACTATGAATGATGAGGACATGGATACATTTGTGTTTGCTGTTGGCACTCGCAAAGCTTTGGTGCGACTGTAGAAAGAGATGCAGGATCTGAGTGAGTTTTGTAGTGATAAACCTAAGTCTGGAGCAAAATGTGGACTGCCAGACTCGTTGGCCATTCTGTCAGAAATGGGAGAAGTCACAGAAGGAATGATGGATACAAAGATGGTTCACTTTCTTACACACTATGCTGACAAGATTGAATCTGTCCATTTTTCAGACCAGTTCTCTGGTCCAAAGATTATGCAAGAGGAGGGCCAGCCCTTAAAGCTGCCTGACACCAAGAAGACACTACTGTTTACATTTAATGTGCCTGGCTCGGGTAACACGTACCCAAAGGACATGGAGGCTTTGCTCCCCCTGATGAACATGGTGATTTATTCTATTGACAAAGCCAAAAAGTTCCGACTCAACCGATAGGGTAAACAGAAAGCAGATAAGAACCGCGCACGCGTGGAAGAGAACTTCCTGAAGCTGACACACGTGCAGAGGCAGGAGGCTGCGCAGTCTCGGCGTGAGGAGAAGAGAGCCGAGAAGGAGCGGATCATGAATGAGGAAGACCCCGAGAAGCAGCGCAGGCTGGAGGAAGCTGCTTTGAGGAGAGAACAAAAGAAGCTGGAGAAGAAGCAAATGAAAATGAAACAAATCAAAGTGAAAGCCATGTAAAGTCACCTTGAGGGCTCCGCCCATCCACCTGTAAGCTCTGCGCCCACCGGAAACGGGAAAAGCACGAGTCCATTTCCCCCTAAAGTTCACATATTCCTGTGACTGAGAAGTCCTTAGTCCACCCTCCCCTCTTGGTTTAGAGTTCTACAGAGGCTGTAGATACATTGAAAGGGCTCTTTCACTTATTTCCTCCCTCATAATCAAATTAGTTTGATTATTTTATGAAAGAATGGTATATAAAGTACGTGTAGTTTAAAATATTTTTAAATTATAACGTGAATCATCAGTGCTTTGGTGTTTGAAGAACAATCATGAAATTTCTAGATGGGTTGTTGCTTTTTGTTTAAACTGGGCAATTGGAGTAACTGTGGAGACTGACTCTAAACCAAGACCCTCAGAGTTCCTATTGGAATTGCACAATAAACATTGCTTGTTGTAAAAAAAAAAAAAAAAAAAAAAAAAAAAGTTGGAATAAACATGGTTCCATAATAAGCCCATTCCTGAGATAATGGTATTAAAACTTTCTTAATCACCTCTTAAAGACATCATGACTTATGGCAACTGAATGTCTGTATGTCTATACTGACAACTCAATTAGAAGGAGAGGGTCAAAAGTAGCATTCAAACTAGACCAGAGGACAAAACCAAGAAGATGAAGCACATTCTTGAATCCTTAGCTGGGTCATTTCTGCCCCCCCCCCGCCCTTATTTCTCTAAAGAATGAGGATGTCATTATTGAAAGCCTCGAGTTCATTGACCTTTCTGCCCCATCCTTCTTCAGGACACATGAGGGGTAGTAATAGGGTCATATAATCACTGGGGAGGAGTCAGAAAACAGAAGAATAAGTGGAGAGAGATGACACAGCTCTGTCTGCCATGTCACTGATATTTCTCCCTACAAAACTACTACCATTTTAACCCATAAAATTAAACAGATTTTGTTTTCAGGCAGTTGGATTTCTACAGGTAACTGGAAGTGACACATCCTACCTGACGCATAAGGGACCAGGAAGTCCATAGTGAAAATCTGAATTAAATGTTACTCATGGGTTGGCAAAGAACAATCATTTAGGGCTATGAATGTGGGCACTAGAAATGGAATTGGTACAGGTGTGGAGAAAGCTGGGGAGGACTCAGTGCGAGAGAACAGTAGAAAACATGTGAACAAGAGCTGATAGTGTGTTGAACTAATCATGGGGTGGGAGCATCATAGAGCTGTCCTTCATATTCCATGTTACTTATGGCAACTGACCTTACTCATGAACACTCCATCCAGGGTTTTCAATGACTTTTCTAAATGTTTGTTGAATGATCTTCTTCCCTCTTCTTAATCCACCCCAAACTTCATTATATCTGTGTTGTGGAGTATTTTTACATTGTGTAAGGATATATTGCTGTGATGAGTTAATAAAGAGCTGAGTGTCCAATAGCTAGGCAGGCAGTACAGGCAGGACTTCTGGATAGAGAGATAAGAAGTAGGAGATGAATTGATGCACTTGGAAGATTCCAGAAAGCATGGGAGAATCAGGATAGATGGTACATAACAAAATGTAAGTTAACAGAAATGGGTTAAGTTACAAGAGCTAGTTACAAACAAACCTAAGCTAAGGTCAAGGTTTATAATTAATAAGTAGTCTCCATGTCATTATTTGGAAGCTAGCTGGCAGGACAAAAAAAAAACTCATTACAAATGGTGTCCAATGTCTGGAAAATAAGTCCACACAGGGTCTGAAAAGTCTAAAGAAAAAAAATCCAAACATGGAGTCAAATGCAGCTTCCAGTTGACCTCAGTCTCTCAAGCAGGCCAGATACTTGCAACATACAGACATGCTGCCCCTTTAATACAGCCTGGTACTTTAGCAGCCTGCACACTACTGAAATGCCTGCCTGCATTGTGGCCACAATAGCTTCCCAGAGCTGGACAGTGAGGCATGCCTGGTATGGTTAGATTTACATGTGGTTCCTGCTGCTACCTGTGGACCCTAGGGAGGTGGAGCCAGCTGCCAGTGCACCATATGCGAAGTAGAGCTGGGCAGCAGTAATCTAGCAGTTTCAGATTTGGCTCATATGGTCAGAGAAAGTTGCAGACTCACAGAAACCCAAGTCCAGGCAGAAAGAACCTTTAAAAAGGTACAATATGCTTAAAAAGGTGCTTAAGTGCTAAATAAAGAAAAGAAAATGGGTATAGACAGTCAGAGAAAAACAGTTCAAAAATAATAAAGTCTTTGAAGATAAATATAAAAAAATAAAAACCATGTAAGGATGTGAAATATAGTATAAATAACAGAGGGAGTTTGGACTTAATATGATGATTTATTAATTTTGAATTTTTAAAATACTATTGAACAAAAAATATCTGCTGAGAGACATTAGATTATGGAAACTGCTAAATTAAACCAACCTATATATTTTAAGAATGTCCTAACTTCAGAATGGAAGTCAGAAAATGTGTTGCTTTGGGAGAGATGTTATGCTTTTATTTCCTCAGTAAATGAAAAGCTATTAATTCCTTCAAAATTGATAAAGATCAGATTTGACTGGGAGAGGCCTCCTGAGGATCTTGGCTATATACATGAGGGAGAAAGCTCAGAAATATTTCAGGACAGGTGACATATATGCTGATCCCTCAGCATAGGAACAGGTCAGAGACTGGATAACACATAATAAATCTTGTTGGCTACAGAGTCCTCATGACAGTTTGATTATATAGTCCAAATGGACTTATAAAAATGACAGGTACCTTTTTACATGCTCAAACATAAAACAAAAAATTATCTTTAGCTGACTTGTGCACATCACATATTCATACTTGTGTTAACACAAACACGTTACCTTTAGAAGTTTGTGTGTTTTTAGAAAAAAAAAGGACTGGACACCAAAGAAAACAAGTAGCCCAGGTGATCCACCCTCTCAAAATGCCTCTGTTACAGTTTCCTCAGAATTCTGCCTCCAGAATAACTTCAAAGTTGCTAGCTGAGATGGTCCAGCCTCACAGACTATGCAGTCAAGACTTCAGATAAGCTCTGTACTTTCCCGCCACACAGAGACTAAACAAAAATTAACACAGTTAGCTCTCCCAGGGCTTGACCATTATCCCAATTTTCTTAGGTCCCCTAAAAATGCAGTTGCGCCCAGAAAACAGGAAGCAGTTTATATTTTAAATTGGATGGATTTTTTTACATTGATACAAACTTAAGGTTGTTCTTGCTATACTGTATATATGTTTCTAATCATATTTAAGGTATTGTACCTATGCAGCTCATTTAGAAATATAATGTAGCCGGGTGGTGGTGGTACACGCCTTTGATCCCAGCACTCGGGAGGCAGAGCCAGGTGGATCTCTGTGAGTTCGAGGCCAGCCTGGGCTACAGAGTGAGATCCAGGAAAGGCGCAAAGCTACACAGAGAAACCCTGTCTCAAACAAAAACTAAATAAATAAATAAAATAAGAAATATAATGTAAAGTTTTAGTCTTTGAAAGCTATTCAGGATAATAAAGAAATGCAGGTGAGTAGTATTTAGTCATCTATAACAATCAAACTTATAGTCATGTTAGGTATATTTTCAAGGTAAAACAGAGACATATTTTAAATTAATAGGTGTTTGTCAAACACTTCAGAGACCTACAGATTATGAACTTAAATTATTTTAATAACAAGGCTTTTTATGACAGTAAGACACATTTGCTCCTGGCAGTACCAATTTACTTCAAAAAAGCATGATGGACTTCGACAAGCCTCCCTATGGAGTTTTCTTTCACTTGTGGTAAAGTTAGCCATTGGGCAAAGAAACTGCCCTTGCCTCAATGGCTGACAATATGCTGTCCAAAGTGGACAAGCAGGACACAAAAGAAGGCAACTGCCAAACTTTTCCAAGACAAGGTAGGATAGAGCTTCAAAATTCCTGCTTCACAGAAAAGTTTGTCAGATATACTAGGCCTCCAGGCTGAAGATGGTTGACCCAATGTTGCAGAGGAACCTTGGAGTGACTATACAGGCAGACAGATATCTCTTTATTTGTTAATTTTGGAAGTTACTTGCTTTGTACTTCCTGTTTACTAATATTATGTCCTTTTCAGGCCACTTATGGAGTTGAAGATGAGACTATTATAGTTGCAGTTTTCCTTGTTACCAAATTCAGAAAAGAAACTCACAAAAGAGGTGTAAAGTTTATAAGGTTGAGAAACATCAAAGCTTAAGATGTTTATCTAAGAAGATACTTTAAGGTAAAAAGATATTTTTATTATGATAATACAAATTTTGAAAGAAAATGGTTTGGGGATAAAACTTTGGACTCAATAAAATAGGATAGATAATATAGTACTTTCTCCAAATTTTCCAAATACAAATAGACTAGACATTGTAAATGTAATTCTTTTTTTTTTCTTTCGAGACAGGGTTTCTCTGTGTAGCTTTGCGCCTTTCCTGGATCTCACTCTGTAGCCCAGGCTGGCCTTGAACTCACAGAGATCCGCCTGGCTCTGCCTCCCGAGTGCTGGGATTAAAGGCATGTGCCACCACCGCCCGACCGTAAATGTAATTCTTATTTGATAATTGTTTTTATTGTATACAGTTTTACTGTGTTAGAGTTGAAACCTTCCTTTTTATTTAGACAAAAAGGGAGAAATGTTGTGGGATACTTGTACACTCTGTGAAGATATATTGCTATGAGTTGGTTAATAAAGAGATGAATGAGTGGTTAATAAAGAAGAGAATAGCTAGGCAGGTGGTATAGGCAGGACTTCCAGACAGAGAGAAAGAAAGTAGGAGATGAATCAAGAAACATGGGAGATGCCAGTAAACATGGATGAAGCAGGTTGGGTGGTGTGTGACTCAACGTAAGTTAATAGAAATGGGTTAAGTTATAAGAGCTAGTTAAAAAGCAAGACTAAGCTAAGGCTGAGCTTTCACAATTAATAAGTAGTGTCCATGTCATTATTTAGGAGCTGACTGGCAGGACAGAAAAAGACTTATTACAAATCTGTCTTCTGCACTGAGAAATATGAACTCATCATTTACTGTTCAGTCCCCTTGAACTTCTTATACAAAATGAGTATGTATCTATGTACTATCCAATCTTTTCAGGCTAACAGGAAGAGCTGTCTCTGCCTACTCTTTGCCAACATATACAGGAGATGCATTCTTTGGTACTTCTCAAAAGATAGTTCCTCCCCTATCTGGAAGTTTATGTTTTTATTTTATCTTTCTAGTAGCAATGCCTGAATACCATCTTAGCACATCTGAACTCTGTCATTTAAAACAATTATCTTACATCCTTCTCCAGTGTT